CCTCTTTTAGGCCAAAAATGCGAATGTTGTTCCGTCGGCTACGGCCTTCCAAGTCAGCCAGTTTCATCTGAATATTCCGTTGTTGCTGAAGCGACTGGATTAGAGCGTCGTTTGCGGCCAAATTCCACCTTTCCATCTCTTCCAGTCTTTTCTCAGCTTCTTCGAGTCTGGTCTCATGGCTAGCTAGCTCATTCGCAGTTTCTGCCAGCTTTATATTAATGTCTTTCTTGAAGCTGTCGAATTCGTCCTTCATTTCTTGTGTGATGTCTTTCTTAAACGTGGCAAACTCAGTTTTAAACTCTGCTTTAAGTGAGTGAATTTCCTTAATGATGTCCTGGACAGTGGCGGTCCTAGCCTGTTTGGTGCCCTGGGCGAAGACTCCCTCTGGCGCCTTCCATGGCCTTCCACCTTCCATGGCATTTATTACACGTTTTTTTTTACACGGCTTAGCGGTGGAAATATTCGAATTCTGGTTCTCTTTTGAGTTTTGACCGGGAGCTGCAAGCTTATGCTGCCATCTTCCTTACGTCCCCCTAGTGGTCTCCCCAAAACACATTTCTAGCGTTAACTGAACTTCCAAAACAGAGCTATCTAGATCACTTAAATTACACAATTGAAAGTATATGTGTATTGTTTGTGTATTTATACACAAGCACTCATATATATTCAAATAATTCAAGTTCATTTACCTGTTACTACCACACACCAAATCCGGTTGGTACTTCTTGGCTTGTGTAGCCCCTAGGTAACAAAAAGCTCAACACTGCACCTAGCATCCTGGAGCACTTGTGTCGTGTTTTGGAGTTTGTACGTGCTTCAGAGTTTTTACGTGTTTTGGAGTTTGTATATGCTTTGGGGTTTGTACTTACTTCGACTCTAGGGGCCACCGTAGATATACTTTTATTTATTCACTCCACATAAAATGTAATAAATAAATTCATATAATACAAAAACTATTTACATTTCAACTTTTAACTATTTAAATTTTCAGCTTTTTCCTTTATTTTTTTTTTTGAACCTTTATGGCCAAAAATAACAAGGCAATTCACATCAACAACATGACCTGAGACCTAATCTGCTGCATATAATGGTGGGGGTTATTCAAAAACTTAATTTAAAAGAAAAAACATATATACACATATACATATACATACATATATACATATACATACATACCAATACCTAAGCACAGATGTAACAATGTTAAGGCTTGAGTGTCCTTTAAAGATATTTTATAATTAGTCTCCATTTTTTCTCAAAGGTTGGCACTTTTAGTTGTAGTTGAGCTGTTATCCGTTCCATCGTATAGACATGTCTAGTTTTCAGAAGCCACTGGGCAACTGTGGGTGTTTCTGGTTTGAGCCAGTGAATTGTTATCATTTTTCTTGCAGTCATGAGGAGGAGATGCAGGAGAAAGTGCTGTTCATAGGAGAAACCATCAGGAAAGATATCCAACAAAAAGATCAGAGGATCCATTG